CAGAAGATACAAAAAAATAAAAATAAGTCCAGGGAGTTCACCACCTAACTAATAATAGCTCCAGAAGAGATAATAAAGAGTACAATGAAGGAAACAGAGATAATACAAGAAAATTTCCCAGAATTGAAAGACATGAGTCTCCAAATTGCAATAACCTATTGTGTCGAACACCATGAATGGGGAAAAGACCACGACTATTGTAAGTGCCATTGCGGAAATGCATCAATGGACATTTAAAAAGGTACAGTGGAAATAAACAGGTTAAAAATCAAGTATCCAATAGGAACCCATTCTTATAAGATATGCAACAGGTAATATGAAGCAATGCCTTCAAAATGCCCAAAGAAAAATATTTTCAACTTTACATTTTATTTATTTATTTATATAAGACAGTTTCGCTCTTGTTGCCCAGCATGGACTGCGATGGCACGATCTCAACTTGCTACAAACTCTGCCTCCAGGGTTCCAGTGATTCTCCTGTCTCAGCCTCCCAAATAGCTGGGATTACAGGCGCCTGCCACCACATCTGGCTAATTTTTGTATTTTTAGTAGAGACAGGGTTTCACCATGTTGGCCAGGCTGATCAAACTCCCGACCTCAGATGATCTGCCCACCTCAGCCTCCCAAAGTGCTGGGATTACAAGCATGAGCCACCATGCCCGACCTCAACCTTAAATTTTAGCCTCAAACTATCAATCAAGTATAAAGGTAGAAAAAAAGACATTTTTACACATAAAAGTCTCCAAAAATTCATCTCCCACATACTTTTTTATGGTAAGCTGTTGAAGGTTGTGATTCACTAAAATGAAGGAATGTACAAGAAAGAAGACATGGTTTAGTTTAGGCTGCTATGACAGATGACCATTGACTAACAGGGTAATAAATGATGGAAATCTATTTCTCACAGTTCTGGAAGCTGGAGGTCCAGGGTGCCAGAATGGTCAGGTTCTGGCGAGGGGCATCTTCCAGGTTGCAGGTTGTCAACTTTTTGCTGTATTCTCATACGGCAGAAGAAGGCTACAGAGATCACCCGGACCTCTTTTATAGGGGCAATAATCCTATTAACAAAGGTTCCATGCTCTTGACCTAATTACCTCCCAAAGGCCTCGTCTTCTAGTACCATCACATTCAGAGTTAGGATTCTAGTGTGAATTTTAGGGGACCGCAAATATACAGGCCATTGCACATGGGATCCAGGAACAGAAAATTTACATACAAAATAGGTAAAAGGAGCTGCCAGGATAACAGCAAAGGAAAGAGCCAGGGTGACAGCTGGCGGCGGGCCTGGAGGGCAGCCAGTTCAGACAGAGGAGGACAAAGGGGAATCCGTTATCTAAAATCGAGGCATCAGGAGACAGCAGTATACACAAGTAACTCAGAACTACAGAAATAAATAAAAGAAATACTGAACACAAGTGAAATTAATTGCCCCAGAAGGGCGAACTGGAAGAGGGCATGGGAACAAAGACTGTTTTAAAGCTTTTAGCTATAGTTGACTTTTTAAGCTTTTATTAGTCTCCTAGGACTGTCATTAACAAATTAACATAAGCTTGGCAACTATGGCCTTCTTTCTGTGTCTCTGTGTCAAATCTCCCCTCCTTTCTTTTATAAGGACACCACTCACTGGACTCAGGACTCACCCTAAATCCAACAGGGACTCATCTCAAGGTCCTTAACTCAGTGACATCTGCAAAGCCCCTATTTCCAAATAAGGTCACACTCACCGCAATCAGGGTTGGGACGTGGATGTACCTTTCTAGAGGACACAATCCAACCCACTACAAAGTTATATATATCAACTACTTTGAATATTTGTACTCATTTCTTTAGCATGTACATTTCAAAAGTTTTTAGCATCTATTTCCAAGGCGACTTCCAGAAAGAGATTTCCATGTATACTTCTACCAGCAATGAATGGAAGTCTCTATTTTCCTTCACCTTTGCAAACACTGCACATTATATTGTACACACTCTTGGCCAAAATAATACACAAATGTTATTTTATTGTTGACTCAATGTACCTTTTGGATTACTAATGATGTTTGGCACTTAAAAATATATTCATGTACCAACTGGTCTTCCTCTTTTGTAAATTACCTATTTATGTCCTTAGTTCATTTTACTTCTATTAGGACATTTATCTCATCCATATAAAATAAAAGTAAAAAGATGTTACGAAAACATTGTTTTAAATGTGAAGGAAATGAAAACAACCTAAACTTTCAGCCACAGAAATTGATTCACTAAATTATTATATTATTGAATTCCATTAAGCTATTATGTCATTACAGCAATGTGTCATTACAGAAATGCATCTAGCATGAGAAGTGATTACAATGTAGGTAAAATAAATAGATTAAAAACAGTGTATCCAGGCTGGGTGGGTGGCTCACTCCTATAATACCAGCACTTTGGGAGGTCGAGGCAGGTGGATCACCTGAGGTCAGGAGTTCAAGACCAGCTTGGCCAACATGGTGCAACCCCATCTCTACTAAAAATACAAAAATTAGCTGGGCATGGTGGCACACACATGGAATCCCAGCTACTCGGGAGGCTGAGCCAGGAGAATGGCTTGAACCCAGAAGGCAGAGGTTGCAGCGAGCTGAGATTGTGCCATTGCACCCCAGGCTGGGCGACAAGAGAGAAACTTTGTCTCAAAACAAAACAACAAAACAAAAAAACAGTGTATCTAATGTGACACGTTTCCTAAAGGATATGTAATAGGCAATATTATAAACATTTATATAGCATTTATCATATACCAAGCATTGTTTAAACATTCCATAAGTATTACAACAATTCTGTGTAATGGGCTCTATTTTAATTCTGGTTTACCAAAAAGGAAACTGGAGCACAAAGAAATTAAAAACTTTTGCAAAGTTCACCATGAGTGGTGGAGCTGGGATTTAAATCTAGGCAGGCTGAGCCCAAAGCTGTGTCATTAACCACCCTCCCAGCTGCCTCTGTCCGTGTCAGTGCACAGGAGAGGCCACATAAGTGTATACACCAAGGAAGCTGCTGTATTGCCTGTGGATAGGAAGGAACTGTAGGTAATTTTTACGTCTTTTTACTTGTATGGGTTTCTAATTTTTCTGTAGTAAGTTTGTAATGCTATTCCAATTAAAAACACTAAAAACTGGATTTTGAAAACCAAAGCATTTCTCCTTAGCTTATTGTATAAGACTTGCTTTCAGCTAGTGGGAAAATCAAGAGACGTGACTACTAGTTCCGGCTCCGTTACTCAAGGCATGTGGATAAGCACTGAATAAAATCTGTATTCACTGGGCATCTACTTGAGTGTTAAAACCTTACGTAAAGCAGCAAGTGTGATTACTGTCATTATTGTCAGTGCTACTTCTTCTCTTTTAACAAGTTAGCAACCCTCTCTGGGCCCCAGTACAGATTAGTGTGAAAATATCAATGGTAGCTGTGGCTTCACTAAACAATGGTGAATGGGGTGATTCCACTCCACGTATGAGCCTTTTTCAGGGAGGCAGTTAAAAGCGGGGATATTTGCCTTTTCTAGAAAGTTTAGGAGGAAAAAAAACCCCATACCCTCTGACAGGGAAAGGATTTCCCTGAAGTTAGACTGTTGGAGTAGTGGCAATCTAAGGAGGGGACGAGAGGATGCTGCTGACATGAACGTGCTGAGTGAGTCCCTTCTTCACATAATAAGGAATGTTTTCCTGCCAGTCAGTGAGGCTGAGGGCGTAAGCAGGTGAGGACAGAGAAAAGACAGGGCGTCGGTGTGTGAGTATTTACAGAGATACTTGCTCTGCATCTTTAAGATGTCCTGGGGGAAATTAAGCCCATGAAATTGACTAGAATTGCAGCAACCCCTCACTCAGAATGCATCAGAGCTTGTTCACAGTTGATTCTCCTTCCTCTGTCCACTCTTCCTTCTTTGCCAGATTTCATAAATCCTGCCCCTGACTCCAGCCTCAACAAAGCTAACCCCATGGCCAAAGGTCTTAGACCCTGGACCCCTCATTCCCTACCTTTCCGGACTGACTTTCCACTCCCCTCAACTCCCAAACCTGTTGATGACCCAAGTGGATGCTATCTCCCCAAATCCCAAACCATGGACCAGATCTGATGTGTGCCCTGGTCTCTGGGAATGACCTGGCCTATCCCTGGACCCTGATTTGCATAAGTCTCAACATCCAGGCAATGCAACAACCTCTGCCTTCATCCAGTGGAATCAGGTTCAGTGGTGTAATCTCAGACCTAAACAAACATGATAACTTGGGAAGGGATCCCCGAGATAACTGCGGGTGCAACTGACATAATCTATGGGCCTTTTATGAAGCTATATCTAATGATTATAATCAGATTGGAGCAAACATTGTTGAATGGAAGCAATACACGTGATTGTAAAATAAACCTGAATCCTATGGGCCTCTCCCTCACCTTCTATGACACCCTTACTTCTCAATGACCTTCTTTCACAGCCACCACCAAGTGCTGACCATGCAAGGTCCTGCCTCCCCTAGGACCTCAATCCTCCTGCCCAGGAAGCTGCGTGGTGTGGCGTCCAGCATGTGGACCCTGCACTCAGCAAGCCCAGGGTTCATGTCACAGCCTTGCCAATTCTTCTCTATGCGCCTTCCTTTCCCCACTTGTAAAATGGGGGAAATAATCACCTCCCCAGATTGCGCTGTGAATTAGAAGCTGTACGTGGAAGTGCTGGCTGCAGCCACCGGCCCCAATTAAGCTTCTGCACATTGTAGTCATTGGTTTTAGAGTCAGGGCCCTAGCGTAGGTTCTGGGCACCACACTCCCCTGGCTTCACCTTACTGAGGAGTCAGTGCCCCATCTCACCACCTCTCAGGAAATGTCCAAATGAGCATCTTCTAGCTTTCAAGTAAGCACAAGCCCAGCAAGCAGGGGTGTGTGTGTGGGTGGGTAGGTGTCCCTGTCCCAGGCACAGGCCTGGCTTCTGGAGAACTACTGCGTTCACCTGCTTCACAGAAGAGCACTGAGCCAGTTTGTTCACACACCTGGAAGAGGTTAGCAGCCTCCAGGACCCGCTGGACGTTCTGCTTGGTGATCAGCGCCTTGCTGGTGTACGTGTAGTCCAGGAGAGTGTGCATGGTCTCAGCATCAACCCCCTTAATAATGATCCTCTTCTCATACTTTTCCTTTAAATCATTGCAGAACATGGCCCTGGAAGAAAAATGTGTGAATGTGAATCCTACCGGAACCCGAGGTTGCAGGCCTGAAGAGATCCCATTTCAGATTCCTCAGCCCTCAGGGAACAGGGAGTTTCCCAAGGTCAGGTCCTAGGCCGGTGGCTCTCTGCTCCCCAGCACCCCCTACACGTCAGACATTCCATCAGAACTCACCAAGCTGAATGGAATTCCATGCCCGACTGTGATCCCCAAAGTCAGTCCCAGATCTATTTTATTGGCTTTTATTGGCTCAAAGTGCAGGTGATTCATGTGAGGGCACTGTAGGATCCCCAGGCTTCATCTTTTCTTCCTCCCCCAGCGCCCAAACAGGCTTCTGACTCTCACAGTAGCTGCATTCTGGCCTGGCCAGCTGAGGCCCCGATACCTGCAGAAATGCCAGTGGCGCTGCAGCTGCCTCACCCCAGACGCTGAACCTCATGTCCGTGGTTCCCAGATGCATGTGGGAGCCCTGAATTCCCTCACTCCAGGACTCCGTCTCACCTCTGGATTCTGCCTTTCCTGCTCCCTCCCCAGGACTGGACTTCCAGATACTTAGCCTCCATCGTGGAAGCAGGGAAACAGGGTGTAGGTTCTATTACAACATCCGATGCACCAGGATTTGAACACCAGCTCCACCAACCCCAGAGTTGGACAGGTTATTTAATCTCCATGACCTTCAGTTCTCTTATCTGGAATGGGGATTTTAATAGCTATTTTTTAAGTTTATTGTAAGGATTAGGATCCAAAGGACTATAAATCATTCTTCCATAAAGACACATGTGCGTATGTTCATTGCAGCACTATTCACAATAGCAAAGACATAGAATCAACCCAAATGGTCACTGGTGGTAGACTGGATAAAGAAAACACCACGGTGGTGCATGAACACCATGAAATACTATGCAGCCATAAAAAAGAACAAGATCATGCCTTCGCAAGGATATGGAAGGAGCTGGGGGCCATTATCCTTAGCAAACTAACCCAAGAGCAGAAAACCAAATACCTCATGTTCTCACTTACAAGTAGGAGCTAAACGATGAGCACGAGTGGACACATAGAGGGGAACAGGACACACTGAGTCCTATCGGAGGGTGGAGGGAGGGAGGAGGCAGAGGATCAGGAAAAATAATGAGTACTAGGCTTAATACCTGGGTGATGAAATAATCTGTACAACTCCCCATGACATAAGTTCACCTTTATAACAAATCTGCATATATACCCTGAGCTTAAAACCAAAGTTAAACAAAAGAGAGAGAGATTTTTTTTTTAACCCCATACAAGGCTCAGACGTGAATTTATCGTACTTCTTCGACTTTGACATTTAAACTGTTGGCCCTTCCCAGGAAATGCGTGAGCAATTTTATTTATTTTTAAAGTGTATGTAGGCCGGGCATGGTGGCTCATACCTGTAATCCCAGCACTTTGAGAGGCCGAGGCAGGCGGATCACCAGGTCAGGAGTCCGAGACCAGCCTGATCAACATGGTGAAACCTGTCTACTAAAAACACAAAAATTAGCTGGGCATGGTGGCACATGCCTGTAATCCCAGCTACTCGGGAGGCTAAGGCAGGAAAATCACTTGAACCCAGGAGGCAGGGGTTGCAGTGAGCTGAGATCATGCCACTGTACTCCAGTCTGGGCGACAGCATGAGATTCTGTGTCAGAAAAAAACGTTGCTAAAGTGTATATAACCTAACCATGCTCTGAAAAGATTTCTGGAATTCTGGAAACCTGAATGGCACCCAAAATACAGCAAGAATGCATGAATTAAAAGTAGGTGGGGGGCCGGGCGTGGGAGCTCATGCCTGTAATCCCAGCACTCTGGGAGGATCACTTGAGGTCAGGAGTTCAAGGCCAGCCTGGCCAGCATGGTGAAACCCCGTCTCCACTAAAAATAGAAAAAATTAGCCAGGTGTGGTGGCACGCTCCTGTAATTCCAATTACTTGGGAGACTGAGGCAGGATAATCGCTTAAACCTAGGAGGCGGAGGTTACAGTGAGCCAAGACTATACCACTGCACTCCAACCTAGATGTCAGAGCAAAACTTCACCTCAAAAAAAAAAAAGTAGGTAGGGAAAATATAGAAAAACATGAGTGGGAACATGAAGGCAATCTGTGAATGAGGCCAGCAATGCCCGCCACGTGGCTGCTACACTGTCATTATAGGTGGGTTGACTAAGTGCATCAGAGACAATGTGGCCAGTTACACAATTCACAATCCTCACTCTGTGTGTGTGTGTGTGTGTGTGTATTTTAACAAATTCAAATGCTCAGAATAATTATTATTGTTCTTAGCATTAAGAATTAGATGGGCTGAACAATAGCCTCACGACATTCTCACCCCATGAGGCCAGTCTTTAATAAGATACAGCTGAGACAGCTCCTTTAGTCCCACTCCCACAAAATCCTGTTCACTCTTGCATGCCCTCCCAGTGGCTGTGAGACCTCAGCAATCCCTTAATAAGCTGGGGCAGCACAGCTTATAAAAACAACTCCTTGGAGGCTCTGTAATTCCACATCTTTCAGTTGACCACGCATTTGCAAAGCACCTATCTAGGTAGTGCTGGAAGAGATTTAAATCTTCTTCTAGACAGTACTCTGGACTGAACTGTGTGCCCACAAATTTGTATGTTGAAACTCTAGAGCTGGGCCTGGTGGCTCATGCCTGTCATCCCAGCACTTTGGGAGGCCGACGTGGGTGGATCAGTTGAAGTCAGGAGCTCAAGAGCAGCCTGGCCAACACGGTGAAACGCTATCTCTAAAACAATACAAAAATGAGCCAGGTGTGGCTAATGGCTTGAACCCAGGAGGCAGAGGTTGTAGTGAGCTGAAATTCAGCCACTGCACTCTAGCTTGGGCAACAGAGCAAGACTCTGTCTCAAAAAAAAAAAAAAAAAAAAAAGACAAGAAACTCTAACCCCCAATGCCCCAGTGTGACTCTATTTGGAAATAGGGGTTTTAGGAGGTAATTAAGAAAAATGAGGTCCTAGGGTTGAGGTCCTAATCAGATAGGACTGAGTTCTTATAAGGAGAGGAAGAGAGACTAGAATTCTCCTGCACGATCGCTCTGCCCCATATGAGGACTCAGTGAGGAGGTGGCCATCTGCAAGCCAGGACAGGGACTTCCCTAGCGCCCGCCCATGCTAGCACCCCAGTCTCGGACTTTCAGCATCCAGAACTGTGAGAAAAATCAATGTAAACATGGCGAATCCATCCAGTCTGTGGTGTTTTGTTACGGCAACCCAAGCTGAATAAGGCACATTTTGGTCCTGAGAAGTGGGGTGCTGCTGTCACAGACACCTACAAAATGTGAAAACGGTGTTGGAACTGAGAATTGGGTAGAGGTTAGAGGAAGTTTTGAGGTGAATGCTAGAAAAAGTCTAGATTGCCATGAATAGAATGTTGGCAGAAATATGGGTATTAAAGGTCATTCTGGTGAGGTCTCAAATGGAAATGAGGAACTTGTATTGGAAACTGGAGGAAAACTGATCCTTGTTATAAAGTGGCAAAGTCTGGACTAAACTGTGCTCTGCTGTGTTGCAAGCGGTGGGACTTGCAAACGACGAAGCTGGGTAGTTAGCTGAGGGTACCTCTGAGCAAACGTGGAAGAAGCAGCTTCTTTCCTCCTGGAAAAGGGATGAATTAGAAAAACAATGTGTAGGCAAAAGGGAACCAAAAATCAAAGCGTTGGAAAATTCTCGGCCTATCCATACTGAGAAAAATGAGGAAGCATTTTCTGAAGTGAACACCAAAAATGTGGCTGGATCATCACTTAATAAAATGCTTATGGAATTATAGGAACAGAAACACTGCCGGTTTGAACTGAAGGGGAAGAGACAAGACAATTGAAGGAAGGCTGTCAGACTTCTTGGATCTCACAGCAAAAAACAATGAGGTACTCAGCTGTGAACATGCACTATTTTTATTTTTTGAGACACAGTCTCACTCTGTCGCCCAGGCTGGAGTACAGTGGCGCCATCTCGGCTCCCTGCAACCTCTGCCTCTCAAGTTCAAGCGATTTTCCTTCCTCAGCCTCCAGAGTAGCTGGGATTATAGGCGCCTGCCAGCACGCCTGACTAATTTTTACATTTTTAGTGGAGATAGGGTTTCGCTATGTTGGCCAGGCTGGTCTCAAACTCCTGATGTCCAGTGATCCACCCACCTCAGCCTCCCAAAGTGCTGGGATTACAGGCGTGAGCCACCTCGCCTGGCCCGCACTATTCTCTAAGAGGGAAAAATTACCGTAAGGGTGATTCAGAAATAATCAGGGCCACTGCCTCAGTTCAAGAAGCCAGATAGCCTCCATGCGATGCCTGGGAGTTGGGGGAGGGGTTGTTGGCAGGACTCACACCTACAGCCATGGAGGTGGCATGCCACCTCAGCAGGCTGGAAGGGAGGACAAACCTAAAAGGTTATTCTGAAGCCTTAAACTCTACTGGACTTTATCTCCTGGGTTCTGGGCTTTCTTGGGACACATCACTTCTTCTTTCGCATTTCTCCCTTTTGGAACGGGAATGTCTATCCCGCACTTGCCCCGTTATCGTATCTTAGAAGCATATAACTTGTCTTGTTCCACAGATTCACAGCTGGTGAGGAGTTTTGCTTCAGGAGGATTTGTACTTCAAGTCTCACCCATATCTGATCTAGATGATATTTAGACAAGAATTTGGACTTCAGAGTTGATGCTGGGATAAATTAAGACTTGGGAAGCTGCTGGGATGTAACGAATGTATTTTGCATATAAGAAGGACATGAATTTGGAGGCCAAGTACAGAATGTCATGGGTTGAATTATGTCCCCCACAAAATTCATATGTTGAAGCCCTAACCCCTAATGTGACTGTATTCGGAGATAAGATCTTTAGGAGGTAATTAAAGGGAAATGAGATCATAAGGATGGGTCTCAATTTGAAAGGATTAGTGTCCTTATAAGAAGAGAGAGGTTCCACACGCACCCCACCATGTCTGCTCACGCACTGAGAAAAGGCCATGTGAGG